CAGAGAAGACACAAATCTCCATCTGTTTCCTCACCTGCTCACAAGTGAAATGTTCATTTTCTTTCTGCTTCATGGAGCTGCTGAGGAAGTCAATCCAAGGCTTCCCAAAGTGATCCATGGCACGAGGGGGGACATCCAGCCCCTGTGAGGTAAAGCAGCTTTGTCACCGGGCACCAGAGGGACCAGAGGTTGTTTGCACTGCATATCTTGTATTTTTAAACAACTCAAACTCTCTGTCTCTGGGGTGTTTGCCCAGACCCACACACTAAAGCAGCTCAGAATGTGAAAATATAAAAGCCCCCCAAAACCTGAGGCATCAGTGGAGTCCCCATCCCTGGAGGGATTTAAGATCCCTGTGCATGTGGCACTTGGGGATGTGGTCAGTGGTGGCCTTGGCAGTGCTGCAGAATGTTTGGACTCAATTTTAGTGACCTTTACCAACCTTAAGGATTCCATGATGCTACAATTCCTTAAAAAAAAATAAAAACAGCGAATTAATTCTATCCTCTCTAATGATGAGAAGATGAACTCAACTCCAGAGCCTGCAGTCACTCAGGGTTTTGGGATATCAGGAATATTCCTCATAGAAAAGGAATTGCCCAGGGCAGTGCTGAGTCCCCATCCCTGGGGGGATTTTAAATCCCTGTGGATGTGGCACTTGGGACGTGGCAGTGCAGGTGGCAGAGCTGGACTCGATGACCCTGGAGGGCTTTTCCAGCCTCAGGGATCCCCGAATTCTCTCTGGCCATTGCCAAATGCCCGATCTGGCCTCTCCTCCCTGGTGAGGAGCTTCCACCTGGTGTTAACACCAACCCAAGTGTTTGGAATCCCTGCAGGATCAGAGCAACACCTGGATGTGGACATTTCTGTCACCCTCCACAGGCTGCCAGGAGCAGGGACATTTTTGGGAGCTGCACAAACCCTCAGGAAGTGCCAGCAGGGAAGAAACCCCAGTGCCTTCATCAGCAGGAGGGAAAACAGTGGGAGGAAAAGAGGCTGTGCCCAAATCAGGACAGGATCCACCCCTGAGCACCAGCCTGGGGCCATCCAGCCCTGCCCCAAGCAGCTTTTGTAGGATCAGAGCACCCCCAGCCCTGATCCCGCTCTGCTGAGCCCTCTGCCCCTCCTCAGGGCTGAGAGGAACCTGGAGACAAGGAAATAAAACATGAATTATGTCCCAGAGGAGCTGCCCACGCAGCCCTGCTGCAGAGGAGCAGCATTTCTGCTGCAGGGCTGAGCTCTCAGCATTGGGAAATGGGATTTATGGCTCCCTGTGCAATCCCACAGCCTCAGGACCAGAGGTTTTGCCAGCAGGAGATAACTTTGTCCAACACAAGTTAAAATTAACTTTTATCCAATATCCCGTCCATTTTATGCCAACTCTATTTGGGGAAAACATCCCTCATTCAGGCTATGACTTACATGAGCCTATTTTGAAATAATTATTCCACTTCTGCCACTGATTCCTGCTATGCCATAATTTAGTGTCCAGACATTTTTATTTTTATTTATCCCCTGGATCTGACCCCTCAGACTCTGGCACACAGGACACACACTCAGAGTTTTCCAGCTGGGATGAAGGTGGTTCCACACACTCAGCATCCCACATCCCACATCCCACATCCCACAGGGCTTTCCCTGCTCCCACTGGGACCTGCTGCCCTCTGAGCATCCTGAACTCCTCCTGGGAGCTCCTGGGATGATCCAGCTCCACAGGCAGCTGGGAGAGGAGGGAATGACCCATTCCACAGGGGCAGGGCAGCGTGGCTGTGTGGAGCCACATCAAAAATCCACTGCTTCCATCTCCTTCTCCAGCAGTATCCTCAATCCCTTGGCACAGGCATTTTCCAAGGCAGTAAAGCTGCCCAAACATATGGAAAAGCAGATTGAGAGCAGAGGTGGAGCAGCAAAAGTTTAGATGCAAATCTGTGGGATGGTCAATCCAGCAGGAACCTGGATTCAGCATTAAAGCCATTCCCTGTGTCCTGTCCCTCCATCCTTGTCCCCAGTCCCTCTCCAGGCCCTGCCAGGGGCTCTGAGCTCTCCCTGGATCCTTCTCCTCTCCAGGGGAGCCCCCCCAGCTCTCCCAGCCTGGCTCCAGAGGGGCTCCAGCCCTGCAGCAGCTCCGGGGGTCCCTCTGGGCTCTCTCCAGCAGCTCCAGCTCCTGCTGATGTTGCCCCAGGGCTGGGGCAGCTCTGCAGGTGGGGCCTCACCTGAGACTGGGAGAGCAGCTCAGGAGGTTCTGGATCCCAGCACAGAGGGATGGGGCAGGTGGAGCTCACCCACCCCACCCACATCCTTCTGCCAGGGCTCTCTCCACCACTTTGTGCTGGGACTGCCCCACCCCAGGAGCAGGAATTGGTGAGCAGAGGCAGCTGCTCACCAGTTTTTCCATGGATGGGATGTTTTGCCCATTCCCCAATGGCTGACCCACCCCAAAATCCAAATCCCAGCACTCCAGCGCTGCCCCATCCATGGGGACCCATCCCATGGCTCTGCCCTCCACAGCTCAGGGTGAACCCAGCACTCAGTGAGGGGGATTGGGAATCCTTGTTTTCCTTGCTGCTCCAAAATGTTATTGGGTTTTTGATAAACTCTGGAAATGCCCAACAAACCCATTGGATTGACACAGATAATCCCCACAGCCCCAACAGGTCCTGCTCCCAGCACCACTCGTGGTTTATAAGCTCACGTGTTCCTTATAAATCTAACAGAGGTTTCTGCTTTTAAATTCCATTAAAAGAACCCAAATTCTCCGCACAACTGAAAGTTACAGCACTGCAGAATCCTCAAAACTCATTTACCAAGAGCTGCTGTTCCCTCTGCAGGAGCAGATAACCCACAGGATTTAGGGTAACTCAGCAAATTAAGGCCCAGAACCAGCCCAACACCATTCCCAAATGTGTTGCACTGTTAAATGGGAAATAAAGGACACCACAGATGCTCCCAATAATTCCAATTTTGAGTCAATTTTCCCTCCTTTGTCTTAAAGAGCTTTCGATGTGCAGCCCCAATATTGTGTCTATCTCTGTTTTTAATAATTTTCTATTACCTCAGCAATATAAACTGTCCTGCAATGGGCTGAACTTTAATCTGGGGGAGACCAAACAGACAGAAATACCATGGGCTGGAGAGTGACCAACCAGGGGGCAATATTCTCTCTGCTCCTATAAAAGATAGCCCACAGCAAGACAAAAAATTGCTACTTGGATTGCACAGACATCACATTTTTGAGAGGCTCCAGGCCCATGGAAAGGGAATTTTCCCATTTTTTCCCCATGGATGTTCTGCAGCAGAACCAGCTGCTCATTCCACGCCCTGACCACAGAACCACGAATTCATAAAGAAACACTGGTTAAAATATTGTAACACACAAGAAAGGTGCTGTCAAATTTACCTGCAAATGAAAATTTGACTTTTTTTGACTTTTTTTTTAATCTAGTGGTTTTGCAAAAATATTGTGAGGTTTGTGCAAAAATGCTCTTTAGAGCAACTGTGTTCAAGTGCCTCTTTTTGCTGGCTCAGTACTCTGCTTTCTAACCCCTGTGCTCACACCTGAACCACCTGGGAGCTTGGGCTGCACCATCAAATCCCTCAAATCAATGGGATAATGGGAAGGAATTCCCACTGGGGCTGCCCCTGGATCCCTGGCAGTGCCCAGGGCCAGGCTGGACACTGGGGTTTGGAGCACCTGGGACAGTGGGAGGTGTCCCTGCCATGGAATGGGATTGAAGGTCCCTCCCAAGCCAAACCATCTCCTTTGGATGCCCAACCCCGTTTGGAGCAGGCAAAGCCAAACTCAGACACCTCGAGGTGAATCCTGCCCAAAACCCAAATTCCTCCTGATGGATGTGCAGGAGCCAGAGCCAGTGGATGTGGGAGGTAAGCACACATTGCAGAACCTTGGATCCAGCAGGAGTTTGTGCTTGGAGTGTTCTCCTGGCAGCTGGGAGCTGTTTCAGGGCTCTCCTGGTGAACGCAGATCACGGGACAAGGAAATGGGATTGAGGATTTCCAAACTTTCCTGGAATAAACACATCCTGGTGAGCTCTGAGCTTTCCAGCCCTCATTTCTGCACAGGCAGCTCTGGGCTTTTCCTCTCAGCTCAGGGAGTGCAGAATTCCAGCCCAGTCCCTCCTCTGTGGGAACAAAGGAACCAAATCCCCATTTCAGTCTCTGCCTCGGTGCTCCTCACATCAGCAAATATTTATTCTCTTTCACAGCAACACAACCAGCCTGGAGGGGATGAGGCTGTCCAGACTGAAGGCTCAGTAAACAAGGCTTATCCAGAGTTTTATTCCCAGTCCTCCAGAGCTCCTCCATCCAGCCAGGACTGCTGCATTTCCAACAGCCCTGGCTGTGCTCTCTGCTTGAAGAAGGAAGGGATGATGATTTAGCACCTGGAATATTCCCTCTCCCTTTGCCACAAAACCAGCTTTCATCCCATGTCTGCGTTCCCACCTGAGGAGGGACTCCTCAATTTCTGGCAACATTTATTTTCCACATTACCTCACCAGTTTCTTTGGGTTTTTCCCTCTCATCTCTCCCCGAGGAGCTCCTGCCTCTCTGTTACCTCCCTGTGCATCAGGCGTGGGCCAGGCTGTGATTTCAGCCTCAGAATTCCCAGATTTCCCCTGCTGAGAGGGAGGCAGGGCAGGGAGAGCTCTTCCCAAGGCTTTCCAGGTGTGTTCTTCACAGCTGGTTCATGCCTAAAAATACTTTAACCTCAAGGACCCAGCTTTGAAATAAAGGAAAAACCTCAAACTGAGCCGTGAGCGGTTTGAACGTAAAACCACAAAGTGTGTGAGGATTATTTTATGATCCCACCGCTGCTCCTGAAGGATTTGGTTACTCCTAATTCCTGATTAAAGCCAAGGATGCTTGGCTGACAGCAGCTCAGCTTCCCTGGAAACTGGGAGCCATGGATCCTTCCACGTCCTTCAGGATGCAGGAAATGCCAACGTGTTCGTGGTAAAACAACGTTTTAATAAACAGCAGCATAAAATAATCAGTGTTTAATATCATCTCTGGCACGTGAAATACAAAAATGCACATATCTCAGTTATAAAATAGCCTTTGTTATTACATTTTTTTTTCCATGCTTGCCTAATTGAAATGCCCGTAATTAATAACTCAATCATCAAGTAATACAGTGATTAAAAGCATGCAGTGAAAACAAAGAAAGATATTTGTATAAGGTAGTGGCTGAGTATCACCATAATATATTTCAGGAACATCTACATCAGGGTAAAAATCAAAAGAAACAGCCCCAAGATATAAAATGCAGAGATGTATTTTCACTTCTGCTGTACAAAATCATCATCACACTTTTGTGCAAAAAGATAAAAATAAAGTCCTATTATACAACATTGTCAACTGAGCAAAAAGATTGTTTTTTGTGGACAATAAAAATATTATTCAGTACAAAAAAAGAGTCTGTGGAAAATGTACCGTACACAGCACGTGTGTAACTCATTAAAGTGGTTTCAAATGAAGAATCTCAATTGGTTCTACCTGAATGGGTTTTTTAACGACACAAATGGTGCATTTCTACGTGGAAAATCGGCACTAATTCACATTATTAGACACAACTGCTATCGATGGATTTGCTGCCTGATGGAATGTGAGCCTCCCTTTTTCCAGGGTTACTGGAGTCAGAGTCACTGAAATGACACAATAAATATTCCTGGGAAAACTGATTGTCATCTCTAAAATTGTGGTTTGGCGTTTTTCCATTACACAGTTGCATAGCAACAAAAGGATATAAAATTCCTGCTTGAGCGACTAGATCATGAAACGTTATCTTTGAAGAAGTTGATTCAGGTTCTGAAATTAAAGCCCTTTAATTTCATTTCCTTTAAGGCAATTCCTTAAGAGCTCCAGCTGTCCTTAGCAGCCAGCAGCAGATGAGGTTTGGAGACTGCAAGCTGATAACTCCAGCATTTGTGCTGTCACATAAATGACATTTTTTGGTATGAATCCGAGTTCAGACTCCCAACCAAACCAAAGACCAAAATCCCACCTGAAGTAATTGATTCAGCTCTCAGATCGCATATTTGAAACACAATCCTCGACTGCAACATTTACAAATACTTTCCCTATTGGCACTGAAATTGCACACCCAGATCTCCGAATCTTTGCATCTCCTAAAAAAAGAGACAAATATTAAAATATGGTTTTCAGCATTAAAAAATGTTCCTGTGATTCAAACCACGCCGGAGCTTCAAAAAACCGTGAAAAAGCATCGGATAAAATGTTTTTATTTTAAAAAAACCCCTCAGATTCCCTCTGCCTCTCTTTGAATTGCTGGTGGCACTTGGAGAACCGTGGCCAAGGCTGAGGATTCCCACCAGGAGGATCCGTCTGGTCGTGCCTGCCCATCCTGGCGAGCAGTGAAACTTCACAGAAGACACTTTGCTGCGATGTCTGTCCAACAGCCAGAAAAGGATCTTCAATAAAATATTTGAATAGGGAAAAAAGAAAAACCTCTCCTACCCCTTTCGAGTCTGCGTCCGAAGGGTTCTATTTACAAAGGCCTCGCGTATTTACAACTCGGCCGAGATCACCGAGTCGTTGGGTCCGTGGATGCTGGCGTCCCCCAGCAGGGAGGACTGCTTGGAGTCCATTTTGTAGGGTTTTTGAGTTTTATTGCCGAACACCGGCACGCCCATGCCCGCCGGGTGGCTGGGAATGGCCATGTGGGACAGCAAGGGAATGTTGGCCTCCTGGTTGGAGCCCGACGACGGCAGGCTGGTGACGTGGCCCGTGCTGGTGGAGCCGCTGGCGCTGCTGGGCGAGCGGCTCTTGGGAGGGGGGCAGTGCTGGATCACCCTGGGGGGAGCCTGCGGGGGGAAGTGGGGCGCGGGGAAGGCGGCGTAGCCCGGCGGGATGGGGTACCCGTTGATGGGGATGTAGCGCTGGTTCTGCGCCAGCGGCGGCCCCATGAACCCCGCCAGCTGGCCCTGGGGGATGCCCTGCGCCGGGAACATGTAGTTGGGGTACCTGGGGTTGCTGAGGTTGCTGACGGGGCTGGCGCTCAGCGAGGTGGTCTGGGTGGTGGCGTTGCCGCCCGAGGGGGTGGTGGAGCTGGTGTGGCTGGAGAGCCCCTCCCAGGAGCGCAGGCGCGCGTGGATCTCCTTGAAGCGCGGCCTGCGCGAGGGCAGGTCGTGCCAGCACTCCGTCATCAGGCTGTACATCCTGGGGGGACAGTCCTCGGAGCACGGCAGCAGCTGCCGCTTCCGGATCATCTCGATCACCTCCTGGTTGCTGAAGCCGTAGTAGGGCTGGAGGCCGAAGCTGAATATTTCCCACAAAACCACCCCGAAGGACCAAATGTCGGAGTCGGAGGAGAACTTGCCGTACATGATGGCCTCGGGGGGCATCCAGCGGATGGGCAGCAGGGACTTGTTCTGCACCCTGTAATAATCGGCCGAGTAGATCTCCCTGGAGAGCCCCAGGTCGGAGATCTTCACGTGGAGCTGCTCCCCGATCAGGATGTTGCGGGCGGCCAGGTCCTTGTGGACGAAGAAGTGCCCGGCCAGGTACTCCATGCCGGCGGCGATCTGCACGGCGATGTGCAGGAAGTCGCCGTGGTCCAGGCTGGACTTGACCGTGCCGTCCTCATCGCTGCTGCAGCCGACGTCGGAGTGGGGCGAGCGCATGACCAGGAACTCGTGCAGGTCGCCCTGGTTGGTGTACTCGAACAGGAGGCACACGGGCTGCTCCTGCGTCACCACGCCCAGCAGGCACACGATGTTGGGGTGGTGCAGCTCCGCCATCAGGGACGCTTCCTGCTGGAATTCCGCCCACTGCTGCGGGTTGTTGAAGTCCTTGAGGGTCTTGATGGCCACCAGCTGGGCGTGGTCCATGCCCGGCAGGTAGAGGTGGCCCTTGTAGATCTTCCCAAAAGCGCACTCCCCCAGCTCCTCCATGAAGCGAACGGCGGAGAGGGGCAGCTCCTTGGCTTTGCTCTGTGGGAGAAACACCAGGAACAGGTCAGGACTGAAAAGAGCCTTTTTAAAGTGAAACCTCTCCGTGCAGCGTGTGTGGGAGCCCAGGAGCTGCACACAGGATCCCACTGGTGGCAGGCACAGCCCGAGGGACACCGGGATCCAAATGGGATCACCACGCTCCCAAAGGTAACAAAAAGAATTCCTTTCCATCCTCTCCACAAGGTCAAATACAACAAAAATTGGGTCCACGTATATGCAGGAACCATCAGCATCTCAGCATTTGGCCTTGGGCATTTCTGTCCTTCCAATTGAATGTGACTAATTTCAGGAATTGAGGCAATTCCCATGCTCGAAAAGGTCCGTGCTGAAGTGTTTTCTGGGCCAGGGCCTGGAGCTCTAGCAGGAAAAAAATGATTTTGTTTTAAAAACCATGTCCTTGTAGCCAATTCTCCCTTGACTTTGCTGTTAACCCTTCCAGGTATGGCAGAGTCTGTTTCTGTTCCCTCTTTTCTGTTCCATCCTGAAACTCTGACAGTGAGTTTCTCAAAGGAGAAAGGCAAACCTTTTAAACATTTATTGCCCTTTGGTGTGCAGATATTCACTCCTGGGCCATAAAGAACCTGTATTATTCCCAACTTCCACTTGTAACACCCAAACCCACTCATTTAGGGCCCTCAGTAAATCCACAGGTAGTAATTTAAGGTTAATGAGTTTGGGATCTAGGTTCTGTAAATTAGTGTAAACATTGGCATTTGCATTCCTGAAATCACGCAAGGCCAGCTTTCCAGTGGCAATGTGGGAAAAAAACTGACATTTCAAATAATCATAGCAAAAAGCCGTTTTTGCATGAATTAATTCTAATTGTATTGATCACTTACTACTTTTATACAAACACTGCATTAATAATCACCATAATGATGATAATAATAATAATAAAGCCATTTAAGCAGGCAGCCCGGCAGACTGCACAATGATGGCAGGAAATTAGCTATATTGTTGAGGAACAGATGGTTTATATTACCCAAATCCTTTAGGCTAAAACTTGTTTAGGTCTGGCATATTGTAAATTATATTTTAGTAATGAAAGTGAAATGACCTCTGTCTGACCTGAGCCTGGGTCCGTCTGTTTGAACCAACAGAGTGGAAAACTGGGGGAAGAAAATGAAGTCATAAAGTTTTGGCAGGAAGGGCTCATTTGGAGTGGAGCAGTTGTAAACCTGCTCAGCTTTTGTTTGACAAGTATTTGTCACACATGGGTGTCCAAAATGTAGGGAAGTGTAAAATACACAAGAGGCAGCAGGTCAGGGGAAAGGGAGAGGGAAACCCACCCCTTCCACCTCTTCTTCAGCTCCAGGACAAGATGTCCTTAATTTATTGTATTTTTGAAGGCAATTAAAATCCCTTAAAACTGGAGGAAATGCTAACATTCCTATTTACCCAAGAAAACAACTGCCTCAGTGGGAGCTTGAAGCTTAAATGTGTTTTCACCCAAAGCTGACATCAATTTTCAAAATAAGATTCCATTTCCTTTCCTTGAAAATATTGTTTGAAAGGCAATCAAAACAGTGGAGACAGGGAGAGCTGGCTTTCCCAGTGGGAAAATCCTGAATTAGCATAAATAAAATGAAAATATTCTTGCAGCACATGACTTGCAAATGGAAAGGAAAGAGAATAGTCAATATTTGTAAATATTTCCAGGAACTTCTGCTTTCCTGTGCTGTGTGTGCCAGCAGGAAAGGTGGGAATTGCATCCTCAATAAAAGGATGCTGGAATTCTCATTATCTTCAGGATTGAACCCCAAATTCCCAGCAGAACAGGGAGCAAGAGGCAACCCCAAATTTAACAAAATATTCCAGGAGGTTGGATGCAAGATACAGTTTGGACACTGACTTTATTAAATGTTTTTTTACTGCTACCAACATTTTGAGCTAAAACTCCTCCAAGCTGTAAGGAAAGCTAGAATTGGGAACTTCCAAGGAAAATGAAGATAAATTCACCAGGCTGTGTGTGTGTGGGATTGAGATACAGGTTTTCACTCTAAAAGGACAAAGCCTACCAAATTCCAAACAAGCAAAGCCCATCAAGTTCTTGAAGAACCATAAAATACCCTGAGCTGGAAGGGACTCCCGAGGATCAAGAGCCTTGGTGTGGTGTGGAACACAAAAATGCTCTTCCAGGGCATTCCTGTGCCTGTGGATGGCAGGAGGCACCTCCAGCCCTGCCCTGCCCTGCACATCCCACCAGGAAATCAGGAGCACAAGGTTGGTCACACTTCAATCAAAATGAATTTTAAAATTCTTCCTGAACGCGGGGCTGTGGTGCAGCCAAATGCCAGCAGCAGGAGCTGTGCTGCAAGGCAGAGCCTTGAGGCTGTTTTGGTCATTTCTGCTTTTAGCTGAGGGAATGGGGAAGCCTGAAAGCCCAAGGAACAAAACTTTCCAAAGGTGATTTAACTGAGTGAAAGGTGACAGATGAACTGAGCAGAGCCATGAAAAGCTCTCCTGAGGAAATGCTGACTCACATCTTTACCTGCATTACCCTTTCACTTAAATGAGGTGTTTTAGAGATGCTTCAGGAAGGGCTTTCTTGCTTTATCACACAAAACCTCCATTATTTCTCCAGGGACACTGACACACAGGAATTCCCCCCTTGGTCCAGCACACGCTGCTGCTGTGAAAACCCTCACAAAAATCACACAAATCCCAGGCTGGGAACCACCTGAATATCTCAGTGCTGGGCTGTTTGAAGCATTTCCCTCCCTGCCTGTGGAGCCAGCGGTGTGGGAGCAGAAATGTGGGTTTACCTTTGGTTTGTAGGCGTTGAGCATGGACATCTCCACGTTCTGCCCCCGGACATGTTTGGGCTGCCTCTGCACCGGCGGGGACGAGGATTTCTGGTTGTTGCGACAAATGCAGATGAAGAAGAAGAGCAAGGCTATGGCCAGGGGAATGGTGACACTTGGCACCAGGATGTACAGGATTTCCATTTTATTCTTCTCCTTGGAATCCTTGTAATCTGGTTCAGAAAGGAAAAAGAAACCCGATAAGGAATGAAGCGTCCCACAGAGTCGAACACATCCCTGGATCAACTGAAAGTGTTTAAATCAATAAAACATCATTTTAATCTGACTGAAATCCACCCTCAGTGCTGTTTTATTTAATTAATATTAAAAGGAAAAATTCTTCTGTGGAGGAACAGTTCTGTGAGGACACACAGGAACAGTCCCTGCCAGGTCAAACCTGATGATGGGCAGGAAAAAGTGGAATGCTGTGACATGGCCTGGGCTTGGGCTGAAGTGAAGTCACAGATCCACAGAAAAAGGAATTTCTAAAACACCTTATGGAAGAAGCTTGTGGGAGGTGTCCCTGCCCATGGCAAGGAGTTGGAACTAAGTGATTTTCAAGGTCCCTTCCATGCCAGACCATTCTGTGATTTCAAGAGAAGCTCTGGTGGGAATACAATCTCCTTATTTTGTATCTTGGTTTGAGACAAGTTAAAGGAGAACACTCTGGATTGAGCTGCTTCCCTTCAAAGGTTCAACCAACCCCTTTCCAGCAAAAGGAAATGGGTACAAGCAGATGTGGAAAAAGAACAGTTCAGTGCAAGCACAACCAGGCAAGCAGGGTGAGGTGCCAGGAAAGCTGGAGCAGGGATAGAAGGGAGGAATCCAGAGGAGTTGGGAAGGAGGATGGTGTAACACAGCCCAAAGGGACAGGGACAGATCCCAAATTCTGACAGCTCCAGGGACAGGGACAGATCCCAAATCCTGATAGCCCCAGGAACAGGGACAGATCCCCCATCCTGAGAGCCCCAGGGACAGGGACAGATCCCCCATCCCACGAGCCCCAGGGACAGGGACAGATCCCCCATCCTGAGAGCCCCAGGGACAGGGACAGATCCCAAATCCTGAGAGCCCCAGGGACAGGGACAGATCCCAAATCCTGAGAGCCCCAGGGACAGGGACAGATCCCCCATCCTGAGAGCTCCAGGGACAGGGACAGATCCCAAATCCTGAGAGCTCCAGGGACAGGGACAGATCCCAAATCCTGAGAGCCCCAGGGACAGGGACAGATCCCCCATCCCAAGAGCCCCAGGGACAGGGGCACAGAGCCTGCCCTGCTCTGCCATTTCCCAGGAGCATTCCCAAGGTTTAGGGTGGAATTACACCCGGATTAACGCTCTCACTCCAGGGGACTCGGAGGATGCCCTGAGCCCAGGCCAGCCTGGCTGTTTCCAAGGGAATTGGGAATGCCTGAGGCTGCCTCGGGGGCTCTGGGAGAATGGGGAATGTTTTATTATCCCTGCAGGGTCACTCCAGTTTGTTTGTCTGTGTTTTCCAGGCTGGATTTGTACAAGTGCTTAGCGGCCCACACAGATCTCTTTTATGCACTTCATTAAACATGAACTTGATCTGAAGCTTGGGCTTGACTCAAATTGTGACAGAGGCAAAGTTCAAATGGTTCTGGATGTCACTTTGCATAACCCCTCTCCTCTTTCAGGCTCACGCTGTCCTCTGCTCCCCCCACGTCCTCTCTGATCATTCCTTTCAGATTAAGTTGTGCCATCTGGTTTTTAATTGAGAGGAGGGGTGGCCCAAATATTCCTACAGCCTTTGGGAAATGGGAGAGGACTAAAGCACCATCCCTGTTCCCAGAGTGGCAGGGATTGACACACTGCCCTTCCCAACCTTCTTAGGCTGGGCCTTGCTAAGCCTCATGCTCGAATTACCCCGTGGTTCACATCTCCCCTCAATCAGGTTGACAAACTCTGATGAAACAAATCTCTCCCAGCTTGTGAGATACAGTTGAAGAAAGGAAAAGAAAGCAGCAGCACGAGGCAGAGGGAGACCTGGGCACCAGTTCATCACCTGAGCTACTCCAGTCAAAGGCAATTATTATTCTTATTAAGTAGCAGCCCCCACTGTGAAGCCTCATTAGGTTAATGGCTTCTTGGGAGCCACCCTAATTAAATCCATTTCCCATCTAGGCATGTCCTGGTGAGGCAGAATGCACAATACTGATTAAAACAGGCCTGAAATGGCTCTTTCAGCCAGTGCAAAACCAGCAGAATGCAAGTCCCACACGGTATTCTGGTTTTAATATGCAGATTAGCACTTAACAATTCAATTACTGCTCACCTGATCCAGCTCTGTTTCTATTTAGAATAATAAAGCCACAGAACAACAAGTACCATTTAAGGCAGCAGTGAGAGGTTTTGGCAATTAAAAACTTTGTCAGGAATTCTCCAGCCCAGCCAGCCTATCTCAGTTATTATCAAGCAAAGCTTGAAAATCAGAGAATTTGGCTCCACAAGAGTCCTGGTATCCCAGATCACAAGCCTGGCACCTCAAAGCCCATCTAGAGGGGACTGGCACAAGAATCTTCAGGATAGTTTTTTGTTCTTTCTGTTGAAATAAGAGCAGAAGAGGTACAGGACTCAAAAAGTGTAGGGAAAAAAATCACAGAATTGTTGAGGTTGGAAAAGCCCTCAGAGATCAGCAAGTCCAAATCTGTAACCAGCACTGCCAACACAGCTCAGGTCTGGCTTGAAAAGTAGAGGTGACATTGCCAGGTGCTCTAAAATGGATTTGAAATTTGTGTTTATAGAACTGCCCTGGCTGCATTTTGGGTTTGCAAAATGAATAAAAAAAGGAGATTCAGCTCTCAATTGATTCTGCCTTTCAGAGACCTGGGGGGAAGTGAATGGAAGGCTTGAACAAATGGGTCCTAATTGTTTTATTTGCATGTAGAAATAATAATATTGATAACAGGCTGAGAAAAAAACACAGCCATTTGCATGGACATGCCAGAAATCCACCCAGAAATGTTGTAGAAATTCAACGTTTCACACCAGAATTGATGCTGCCTACAAGTTCTCACAGTAACATTTACCTTTCCCCTCAGAAAGGAGATACCTTTGACGTTCCTGCTCCAGAGCCAGAACCAAATTACATTTTTTCTGGTTATGGTTATGAACATTCCTGCAGTGAGACATGTTCTGAGTCTGCTCCAAAGTCTTTTTCAATTAATGGAAATATGGAAATCAATGCCAAAATGGGATCTAAATCATGTTCTTACTGAAAGGGTAGATCAGGGGGAAGGCAGATAGTCTGGGCTTCATCATGTGCATCTCAAACCCTCTCCCTGTTTTTGGGCCCCCCACAAGAAGAGAGGCATGGAGGGGCTGGAGCATGTCCAGGGCAGGGAATGGAGCTGGGGTGGGGCTGGAGGATCCCTGAGGGAGCTGGGAAGGGGCTGGGGAATCCCTGAGGGAGCTGGGAAGGGGCTGGAGGATCCCTGAGGGAGCTGAGGGGGCTCAGCCTGGAGCAAAGGAGGCTCAGGGCCCTTCTGGCTCTGCACAGCTCCTGAAGGAGGGGACAGCCGGGGGGTCGGGCTCTGCTCCAGGGACAGGGACAGGAGGAGAGGGAATGTCCTCAGGCTGAAACAAGGGAGGTCATGTTGAATATTGGGAAAAATCTTCACAAAAAGTGTTGTCCAGCAACCTGGAAAGTCTGGAACACCTGAGCTGGCAGTGCACAGACATCCCCAGGAAATTATTTTCAAGGCACCACTTTGTCACTGCAGGGGCAGCAAGTGCTCAAAGGTGTCCTGGGAGCAGGGCCAGGGAGGCTTTTCTACAGCTCCATTGCCAGGAAATCAACAAATTCATTTTGGGCACCAAACTGATGCCTCAGGTTTTGCCTTTTATATTTTCACATTCTGAGCTGCTTTCATGTGTGGGTCTGGGCTTCACATCAGGGGATGCTGAGCTCTCTGCACAGAGCAGAGACACAAAACAATTCCTGCTCCAGCTGGGCACCAAGGACAAATGATCCAAATCTCAGCCCAGGAGCACAAACAGCGTGGGCTGGAGAGAGAAAAACAAGCAGGGTGGGACTGCCTGGGCTGAAGCTGGAACGGGACAATGAACTCCAAGGTGCCAATGGAGCAGAACTGATCCCAGGGAGAGCCCCCGGGAGCGCTCGTGCATTTTGGGGCCATTTTGGGTCATTTGGGTGCAGCCCTGGCTGGGATCTGGTGCTGCCCAAGGTGGATCCATGGAGGAGATGCTTTGGATAAATCCCTGCTTTATTTGTGACTCTGCCCAGCTCTGCTCTAGGCACCAAAACCCTTCCCCTTGCCCCCAGCTCCAGCCCACACCGGGTCAGGCATTACCACAGGCTGGGACATCGCAGAGCTCAGACTTGAGGTTCTCATCCAAGGTGAAGCACCACGGGGCGTCCTTCTGGTTGCCAGGGTTCCTGCAGTAGGAGTGGCCCCCGTTGAGCTCGGGGTACCGGGCAGCAGTGAAGGTGTGGGTGTGGGGGTACTGCGAGTTCCAGGGCTGGCACTGCCGCCCCGAGCGCGTCACGCTCACCGTGCCCCGGTAATCCACGCCCGTGCTGTTGTAGCACCTGTGATCTGCAAAGACAACCAAAAGACAAAGCCACTCTTCATTTATGAGTGTGGGAAGGTGAGGGGGTGGGAAGAGGGATGGGAGAGATGGAAACAAGGACGAGGCTGGACTTTGTAAACTGTAAACTATATGGAAGTGCATATAAACTGCCATCTTCTCACTAATAAAGGGAGAATGTTTGATTGACCATATTGGCCTGACCAACGTTTGTCTTGTCCAGCACCCCCTTGTGGGAATCCAGGGCTTCCCTCTGGCTGCCCTGGGACCCTGGCAGGGGTCAGGAACCCCCCTGGACAGAGCCCCCAGAGACACTGGCTGTGATCTCTGTCCATGGAAAAGAGTTTTCAATCTTACAGGATGAATTACCAGCTCTGAGTGTTTGATATCAGTAATAATTAAGTGTGGCACGGGTGCAAAAGTAAAATTTTAGGATTCTAGATAAGGGGTCCAAAGAGGACAAGATGGAGGAAATTGGGTGTGTCTTGTCCTTTTTCTCCTTCTTCATGCCCTCCATGTTTCACTGCGGTGTTGGCATTTTTCTGTTGGTTTAGGCTGGGGACACACTGTCCAACGTAGGTGACAGATATTGGCACGTTATTGTAAATCCAGCACAGGGAGTTTCTGGTATTTAATGTTTGTAACATCCCACTGAGGGCAGAGCCCCACACGCTGCCCTGCAGGACAGAGCTGCGGCAGGGCAGCAGAACATGTTAGAGATAAACAGAATAAACAACCTTGAAACCAGCACAGACCAATTATGGCTTCTGCTTTGGCAGCGGGGCAGACAGACAGAGACTTTCTACAATCTCAGAATCATCAATACCTCAGATTCTGACACCCCCTCATATTCTAAGAGGTCCCTGCTTTTTCCATGGAAGAGCAGACGCTTTGCACTCACTTTTGTTGATGGGATCAGCCATGGGAATCCCGATGCGGATGCAGTTGACGGCCTCGGGGCTGTCGGGCTGGGGCAGATCCTCGCAGTTGGGCAGCTTCAGCCGCATCAGGATCATGGGGTTGGACCTGGCGAAGATGTACTCGGTCTGGCACAGGACGTTCTCCAGGATCTCACACTCATCCCGGCACAGATCCCGGGGTTTGGGAGCAGGGGAGGTCTCGTCGCAGTAGGGGAAGGCGTAGTGGCACAGCGAGGGGATGGCAAACTGGGAGCACTTATCCGACAAGTGGCTGGAGGTGCCGATCATGGTGAAGGCAGCTGGAAAACACACACCAGGCTTTGGCTTGGGAACTTCTTCCCTGGGCTGTTGCTTTCCCAAAAAAACCCTCACTTCCCACTGCAGCTGTGCAGGTGATGAGCAGGAATGCACAGCACTAATTACACTGGAAGGCATTTGTGGCAAGCACATTTCTCTCTCTCTCAGGATTTTTCATAGAGGTGCACAGAGAGAAATGAAAGAGAAAACAATTTCTGTTTCTGCTCCTTGTTTTCCTATGTGGAATGTGTTTGGAGAATTGTTTCCCTGGGGGGAGTGATTGATTGGATTCTGGTGAGGATTGTTTGAGATCCAACCCACCTGGGGCTGGGCTCTCAGAGAGGGTCACCAGTTGTGAGTGAGTTAGAGTCAGAGAAAGTAGTATGGAGTTTTAGTATCTCCTTCTATATAGATATTAATGTATTTTAGCATAGTTATAATAAAGAAATAATTCAGCCTTCTGAATTGAGTCAGACATCCTCATTTCTTCCCATTGGGTTTGCCTGCATTTACAATAGTCATTAACCATTCTGATTTCACTTACAAGGAAAATACATCAGGTTTTCATCACGGGATTAATGCTAAGATCATTACCCAACCCCCAAATGTAATTATTCCTTTAGTTATTCCTTTTTTCCTCCCAAGTAACTTAGAATAATTTTAAAATTCATGTAATATTTAGAAGCCCAACAGCTAAATCCCAAATTCCTGCACCGGCTCCTTTGTGGGAGGTGACAATCCAAATACAATCCCAAATAACTTTTCAAACTAAATGCTGGAAGATTATGAACTAGTGGCTCCACATTGCCTTTCTTGGGGAAATGAAGCCTTTTTTTTGCAAACAGTGTTTGAAGACAAAGGGAGAAGAGAAATTTGGGGTATTCTGACAGCAAGGAAAAAAAAATCTGAATATAGAGATGATTACCAGGGCTAGGTTATATAGAGATGGAATACAGAGATGATTACCAGGATCAGGCCAAGTAAATTCATATAAAAAATAGAGAACATCATGATATCTATGATATCTTTGAATCCAGCAACACCATCAGCACATCCCACAAAACCAATGGCAACTGGTTCTCCCATAAATCCAAAGGAATAATACTGCTTGCTGGATTATTCACGTGGCCTTTCCCAGCAACTAAATTATTCCAGCCAAGTAAAATCAGCTAAAGTTTGTCCTCCTTTGCTTTCAAAACTTTCTGGGGTAACAGCAGCACTGAGTCTCCCAGAAGCTGTAAACACACAGCTCCTTTTCCTTGAAAAATCTTTTTTTTTTCCAGGTGTTTTGGGAGGAGCTGGAGGAGCAGAGATGAGCTCATGGCAAGAGGGAATAAAGCAAAGCAAAACAACATCACTCTTTATAAAACTCCAGCAGCTTTTTGGGAGCAGACAGCTCAGTGGGGAAGCAGCCAAGGTGTTTTTACTCACCTGTAATCTGATTTTCTATTTCCCCCTGCATGTGCAGGGACTCCATGTAGATGGTTCTGTTGCCAATGAAGCGGGCGCAGGCGATGCCCCTGTAGGGCTGGCAAAACCCATCCTCCTCATACTCATCCCTGAAACCAGCCAGAAACACAAAAAGGTGACTGTAAAATATTGAAAACAATTAGGATTATGTCACTCTATTCAACAAGATCTTGAATATTTGTTTGTTTAAATAAACCCCTTTCATCTGCCTGGTAAAAAGTGGCATTTCAGCTTAGCCAAAATACACATTAATGTTGCATGAAATGAGTGCTTTTAAGGCTCTGCTCAGAAATACACCAAGGCTTTATTAGAAGAGAAATATAAACTGCCTGGAAAAATAGGATTGATGTTTATTTAAAGCAGCTAACACATAGTTTTCTATTTTTGAACCAAGTTTGTGCTTAATATTGATAAACACAGCAGGCAGAGTCATGCAGGCAGAATTTAAAGTGTATATAGAAAATCCAACCTCTGCCAGCAGTGGTACCTTGGAAATAGGAAATGTTTGCTCGGCCTTCCATGTGTGGCAACATTTAGTGCTAAAACAGAACCAAAACTGAGACAGGAGTTCTACAGACATATTTCTTTCATTAGGTGCTTTCTTTTAGGCAGAATAGGAGACATTTCATCCAGAAATCCAGATGGGAAATTATTTGCTAATGCTCTTCAAACAAAGCTAAGAAAGGAAATTACTGAAGACCCAGGCAGACACTGAGTATTTTGAATAATCAGCTCTGAACAGGGAATTTTAGTGGGGTTTTGAGGAGGGGTTTGAGTACATGGTCCCTGAAATCCCAGCTGCATGAATCAGCCCTTTCAATCCCTTCCTCTGAGGATCCACTCGGAGATATTTTGCACTGAGATTTTTGGGATGGATTTTCTGGACAGACACCTCGGCTCTGTTGAGCTCCCAGCAAAAAGGAGGAGCTTAATGAAAAGTTGCAGATATTTTCTTTGTTATTCCTCAGCTCAGCCAGCTCCTCTATGGCTCTCAAACCGGGATAAATGCTACTGGAATATCCCTAGGGATGATGACAGCCGCGTAGGGAACAGGTTATTTCCTTTGTGTGCAGAACTCTCCCTCCCCCAGATGCCAAAAACCCAACAGCAGAATCGCCCTACGCCTTAATAAGGGAAAAATCAGAGCTTTTTTTTTTTTTTTTAATCAACTCTGCCATTAAGTTTAACAAAAGCCACTTTCATCCCCTGCTGAAGGCCTCGGCTGTGAGAGTTTGGAAATGCAAATTCCGTGGGGGCTCTTTGAAGCCGCCCGTTCTTTGTGCGCTCCCAGCGCGCTGTCACCGCGGCCAGCGGCAGTAATGGGATTAGCGGGGAGAAGCGCTGGGATCGCCTGCCAGGACATCCCAACATCCCAAAATCCCCAAATCCCAGCCACCCCATCCCCCGGGCTCCCAGAGCAGCGCCCCGGGGTTCCCGCAGCGTTCAGAGCGAGGAGCCAAACCCCGGGGATTAAGAGCAATAATTGATGAGTGTGAAGGCGAAGGGGTGGGAAAGAGGGATGGGAGAGATGGAGACAAGGACAGCGAGGCTGGGAGCACAAACCCTGTGAGGAACCCCTGAGGGAGCTGGGGGTGCTTGTGGGAATCCAGGGCTTCCCTCTGGCTGCCCTGGCAGGTCTGGGATCCCCCTGGACAGAGCCCCCAGAGACACTGGCTGTGATCTCTGTCCATGGGAAAGAGTTTTCAATCTTACAGGATGAATTACAAGCTTTGAGTGTTTGATAAGAGTAATAATTAAGTGTGACACGGGTGCAAAAGTAAAATTTTAGATTTCTAGATTAGGGGTTCAGAGGGGACAAGATGGAGGAATTGGGTGTGTCTTGTCCTTTTTCTCCTTCTTCATGCCCTCCATGTTTCACTGTGGTGTTGGCATTTTTCTGTTGGTTCAGGCTGGGGACACACTGTCCAACGTAGGTGACAGATATTGGCACGTTATTGTAAATCCAGCACAGGTAGTTTGTGGTATTTAATGTTTGTACCATCCCACTGAGGGCAGAGCCCCACACGCTGCCCTGCAGGACAGAGCTGCGGCAGGGCAGCAGAACATGTTAGAGATAAACAGAATAAACAACCTTAAACCAGCACAGACAAATTATGGCTCCTTCTTTGGCAGTGGGGCAGAAAGACAGAGACTTTCTACAATCTTGGAATCACCAATACCCACAGATTCCGACAGGTGCTCAGCCTGGAGAAAAGGAGACTCAGGGCTGCCCTCAGCGCTCCCCACAGCTCCTGAAAGGTGCCTGTGCCCAGCTGGGGCTGGGCTCTGTCTGCAGGCAGCACTGACAGAGCACAGCACACAGCCTCACGCTGTATTTCCAAGGGAAATACAGGCTGGATAGCAGGAAAATGTTCTTTACAGAAAGGTGATGAAGTTCTGGAATGGCTGCCCAGGGAGGTGGTGGAGTCACCATCCCTGGGTGTGTTTAAAAAGCCTGGATGTGGCACTGGGTGCCAGGGTTTAGCTGAGGGGTTGGGGCTGGGTTGGACTCCATGATCTTGAAGGTCTCTTCCAACCCTGTGATTCTGTGAAACCTCCTCCACGGCCACCTCAGCACTGGGAAATCGGTGGGAAAGGCTCCAGGTTTCCCTGGATGATGGTTCCAAGGTATTCCCAAGCACCTTGGAAGCTGGGTTGCAAAAGCAGGACTTTATCTGCCAATTAAACTCCTCATTAACAGCCCCAGGGAAGGCTGAGGTGCCTCAGGGACTCAGGTAACAAAGACACCTGAGATGCAAGCAGGGATCCACAGCCACACCCTTGGAATCCTGCAGGGAGTCACTCTGGTGACAAAATCTTTATTCTGCTGGCTCTGGAAACATCCAGTATTTATATCTATCCAGTTTATATCCAATATTTTTCCAATATCCTGAGCCTGCCCTGGCCCAGCCTGGGGCCGTTCCCTCTCCCCCTGTCCCTGTTCCTGGAGCAGATCCCAAACCTGGCAGGAGCTGTGCAGAGCCAGAAGGGCCCTGAGCCTCCTTTGCTCCAGGATAAATTTATCACGGAATTTCACTGGGGGACTGCACAAAGGAGTGGCAGTGAGCAGGGACACCAGCTCACCTGGCTGGAAATGCCCTGAGGAGTGGGATTTTGCAGAAAATCCCAGGAGAGGAAGACTAGAGTGAAGAGGAAGGACCAGGATGCCACCAGCTCTGCCCTGGGGCTACATCCAGGGAATTCCCACAGGGAAAACAGCAGAACCCACAGAAGCGTGAAGGGCTCCTGCAGCTTCAACACATTCCCCACCTCCTGCTGCCCCCTGCCAGCACTCTGGCTTTAAATACAGCTATTTTCAGCTTTGGCTTTAAACACAGCGATGGGATTTTTGGTTTTAAACACACCTACCAGGCTTTGGCTTTAAACACAGCTATGAGCAGGTTTGGCTTTAAACACACCCATCAGTTTTAGATTTTAAACACAGCAATTGGTTTTTTGTTTTCAACACAGCAATTGGTTTTGGTTTTAAACACACCTATCAGTTTTTGGCTTTAAGCACAGCTATTATCAGTTTTTGGCTTTAAGCACAGCTCTCAGTTTCTTGGGATCAAGGCTGAGCCCGCAGTGCTGTTTGGTATCCCTCACCTGCTCTGTGTAAGGAATCACCTCATCCCTGCTCCGATGTCTTTCTGCCTCTGGATCCCGATCCTGCACAAGGAAAAGTCCCTTTGCCTCCAGCAGGATGGAAATTAGGCCTGACCCAGCAATTAACGTGTTAACATTTACAGCCGAGCTTAAATCCTAATGATTAAATCCTAACGAGCTGGAAATCAGTGCAAGCCTGCAGGCGTTTCTGATTGTGGATTGAATCACTTGTGCAAATTCTGGCTGGAGTGGGGAGGACAGGAACAATTCCAGCCCAAGCACAGCACAGGATTTGGGGTCTGGGAGCTGCCCCATAACTCGTTCCTGTGGAGTCTTGGCTTCTTTTTTGCCAGGATGGGGATTAAACGCACAAGACAGAATTTCTTGTTGGGACTCAGATGTTTGTTGGTTCTTATCTCAGTCTCACAAACCCTGAGTTCTGCAGCCCTTCACTCTAACAAACTACAAATGGAGCCCCATCTCTCTCTCTTTGCAACTGTCCAATTAAGAAATGACACCTGAATTATTTTTACTTTTAACTCAATAACCAACCACCCGTGCCTGCAATGGGGACTTTTTATCCAATTACACAAAACCACCCAAACCCGTGGAGAAGAAGATGAAGAAGGACCAGCTTCTGCCCTAAAACCTCCATCTTGCTAGATATATATTACTATATATACCTATTATTCTAGTAATATACAAAACTTAAAACTATATCATTCTATTAATATATAAAACTTAAAACTCTAAGTTTAAATAAATAAATTTTAAAATATAATGTTAAAATTTAAATAAAATAAATGTAATAAATATATAAGACTTAAACTTTAAGTTCTCCACCCTAAGACATTACACACTTCTATTCAAACTGCACACCCACAATCCCAGTTCTGTCATTCCATTTTGGAAGCTTCTCCACAGCCTCAGGTCAATGCAGTTTCTCTTGAGGGTCAGTGGCTGTCAGCACAGAAAGTCCCAAATTCTCAGCATCCAGGGTTCCAAGAGATTCCTGCTCCTTGCACAGCCTGCACCCCAAAAAGCTCCTCTGAGCATTGGGTGAAGGCTGCACAGGACAAAGAGCTGGATTTTAATGACCAACAGATGATACAGCACTGTTGAGATTCTTTCTTTTCAGATTTGGTTCCCACTCTGTTTTCTGTTTCACCCTGTCAATATTTCCAGCCTGGGTGTTTATTTTGGAGTTGGCCCATTGCTTTTGGATCCTGCTGCACTTCCCCCTGTGCCTACACCTCTGGCTTGGTGTAACTGTAGCACCGAGGATTAATTTACACCGTGCTCAGGTGTCTCTGAGGATCTGATTGCTCCAACTCACAGAAAACCGAGGAGGAGCTTTGAAGGGTGTCCACAACCAAAATCTCTTTAAGATCCCCTCCAGCCCAGCCCATTCTCTGATTCCATCTCTCTATCTCAGCTGCTCCTGGTGTGAAGCTCCAGTGAATCCAGAGGCTGAGCCCCTCCC